CCTTGTGTTCAGCACAGCGGACAACATGTCATCAGAGCCGCACCAGATTGGGGTGCATCAACAATCTATAAAATTGACTGGTTGGGCTTCTTCAGTTGCTGCAGGAAGAGAAGAACGTATGTTGAGCCTTGTATTTAAAACAGACTGTCAGTAACAAGAACAGATAAATCTACGTGTCATGTGGATGGAGAGATGACGAATGGGTAGAGTATGAGGGGATGAATCACTGGTTAATAGGGTCATGTGGGGATCCATGAGCAGCGAAGAGTTTGGTCGCTGATGGGGTTTAATCGTCTTCCACTGGTTCTAATTTGAGTTGGGCTCCGGTTTGTTTTTGTCCTTGTCCCGGTGATCGGCACATCTGGGTGATGCCGTTGAATGTACGTTAGCATATTGACTGACCACAGACGCAGACACACCGTCCTCATCTTATACACACCTATGCTAACCTCAGTACATGTTGCTAACAGCGTGCGGCTAAAAGTTTCCGAGTGGAACTCATGCTTGTGAAATCTTTGTCTATGACGAAACAAATAATTGACTTTTGAAGGAAATCCGTCTGTAGCAAATGTTAGCATGTTAAAAAGCTAAAATAAGATGGTGAGCATGGTAAACATTATACATTTAGTACCATTCATGCTCCTCAGATGATGAATCCTCAGGAATTTTGGTGATCCCCTGACGTTTCATCCACCGCCACCATCAGGAGTTCACCAGTTTAGTCTTATCCAGTGAAATACCTCCACGTCTATGAATTGGCCATTTACAAAAAGTGGACTCAACTTTCATGGTTCCAAGATGATGTATGCTAATGACTATGGTGATCCCCCGGCTTTTCCTTTCGCATGACCAGCAATTTGCACTCTTTTAAATATTAAAACATATTCGATTCGATGTTAACAGATTTAATATGTATATAACATACATTTGTTTCATGTCTTTTTAACCATCCTTGAAATGAATAATGTTCTCATGCCAGTATCACTTCCCTGTTTAGTCTAGTCTGGAGAAAATATTTCAGGATTAGTGTGGCAGCGCGGTGAGTGTCCACATTTAACACACTTGCAGTCTCAGAGAACAAATCTTGCGAGACGTTGTTGGACCACAGTCGTCACGGCCGCTGTTCCAAACATTAGCCTCAGAGCAGGAGAGTTTGATTACTATAGTAAATAAGCCAATCAGACTAGCATGTGTTTTTTGAGGTGCAGACTTTAGTGGAATGTGTATAAACTCCCTAATCTCTCCACACTGTTGATGACAGACTGACAAGGGCAGCTGGCAGCAGGAGGACGGAAACACCGTTAGGAGGAGAGGCCATTGAAAGGGACGTTACACTGGAATATTGAATGAGAACAAAGAACAAAATTAGTCAAGGATATTTTTGGGTTTGGGAATTCTACAGCATCAGTTTTGAATTATGTATTTTGAAACTACCTCTGGCTGTTGAAATGGAGCACAGGAAGTGCCAGGACCATCAGCGCAAATTATTTTCAATTCCAGGAGGGCTTTGGATGAGTGCATGCCTCGGCTTTGCCTGATGCTGATGGTGTTGGTGGCAGGCCTTGGACAACAGGATGTCCTGTTTGGCGGCTCAGCATGGAAATCCTACAGAGCCGAGACACACACGCTCACACCTCTAGTCTCAAAGCCTCTCTCACTTGTGATTCAGCAGAGTTGACCAAATCGGACACGATGGCGCCGCAGTTTGGCTGTTCAACTTATTGAACTTAACGAATTCCAAAAATGAAGGAAATCTAGGGGAGATGTGAGAATGTTTCCATATCGTCATCCCCATCTCTTTCTGTTTCACAGTAAACCACAAACACAATCACACAGCATTAAGCCTGGCTTCACTTCTCTAGGCGGCAAACGCGTATTCTAACCATATTAAAGTATCGTATCTCTAAAAGCCGCAGTTATGTAAAACATTGCTCATTCGGCTCCTCCATTAGTGGTGATGACTAAATCTGGACCCGAAAAACACTGGCACACAACACGGATTGAAAAACTCAAAGGGGACGAAAGGAAAGAACAACATGTTTAAAATTGAACTGAAGCTTGAATCCTCTTCACTTTCTGTGGAAGGAAATATAATGTATCAATAATGATACTACAGCTACTGTGCATATTTTCCCTCCATTCTTCAAAAGAAGATAAAAACCATTGTTGGACCAGCTTCCAGCCCCTGGGCGGGCGTTTCCCATCACACCGGTTGGGTGGCAACTTAAAGCCGGTGTTATTAGAAGACGTGCCGTCAACTTCTGCGGCGCGCTGCTGACTTAAGAACGTCTACGTTTATCCCACAAAGTGATACAAGGAGTTGTTTTTCCTTTTTTTTTTTATAAATCAAGCTCACATAAAGTTCAACAATCACTTGTGATGGGTTATTGGGCTGTTAAGTTTTTATTTCACTTGGAAAAATTTGATGAATTAATATTTAAATTCCCTTTTTCTTAATTTGGAAAATGCAATTTTGACCAAATAAGTGCACAAGTCACAGCAAGAACATTGCATGGCTGTACAGACTGTCAGCCTACAGACCAATTTGTCATATTGGACTATATAATAAAAAATGACTCGACTATTATTTGTTGTTTTAACATTTTATATTGTAATGTTGCTATAAATTGAAACGTTACTCTCTGTCGATGATCAGAAAAGAGCACAGAGATGTTGCTAGATATGCTTCCTGCGTCTCTGATGCATTAAAATCCGAAAGGTTGCAGTAAACTCACTATCGACGCATCCAGGGAACGCATTCCTATTTGTTCCTTGATAATGCTGCACTGTCAACAACAAACAATAAAACATATAAGAAAAAATACAAAAAGAAACCTTGCTGTTCAAAAGAAGAAAATACAACACCGATTATGACGGATCATGACTCTGAGCTGAAGTGACCAATCAAAGCATCACACGCACAAACATAACAGGAATTAAAAAACATCTGTATTACGTCCCCCACCAACCTCTCCCTCTCGCATTTACTGGAAAGGTTTGGACGTTACTCGCCCTCTGCACATTCGTACAGATGTATCCCTACCACACATATCTACACAGTATTAACTGGAAATCTGTGTGTTCAAATGTAATTTGTTTTTACTTTTTGTAGAGTTATTGTTGGGCACAGCTGCCCTCTTGTTCGTGCCCCATCCAGGGTCACCGCTACTGCTCTTTAGCTAAAATCTGTCAGGACCTCTTTGACGCAGATCCGTTTCCTGTCAAAGTAAGATTTTTATTGTTCCAAGGGTGCAGCCTCCAGAATCTTGCTCCCCCAGCCTTTTCCTGTTTCCTCTCAAAGAGGAAGTGCTGCCTTGCTTCACTTCCCCCCCGTCCCCGTCCCCGTCCCACCTCCCGCATCTTCTTCTCTGGGACAAATCTGGAACACAGAATGCAAAACTTTTTGCTTGTGTCGGCCAAGTCCAGATTTCAAAGAATGAAAAGAGTTCCTTAAAAAGAGATATACCCTCCCTCTTCGGTCTCTCTTACAAAAGCTCACACACACACACACACACACACACACACACACACACACACACACACACAGCAGCGCATTGACAAACAAGCTCACACTGATTTTGCATCCTATATTGTAATGGGCCCCCTCGGAGCGATCAGCCTTGGTGGTGTGTGTTGGTGCATGCTCAACTGCGACCCCACAGTGAAGTGTTCCCATGGTGCCTGAGCACGTAGCCTCTTTGTTATCGCACAGTCTTTGTACGCAGGAAGGGTCAGATCATACCAAACATTACATACTCTTCAACAAACTTAAAAAATAAATAAATCAAGTAACCACGCGCTGTTCAATTTGAGTAAAGTTGTGATGTGTGCCCTCTGAAGCCCAGCCACCCAACCCTAAACACACACACACACAGAAAACGTATTGGTGTGTGTGCGTGCACATTTAACTGTGTGAGTATGTGGTCCGGTTCTGCACATGCTTAGAATGACAAATGGATCCTGGTTGTCGGACTGATCTCAGTCAAGCTCTGCAGCTTCAAGGCAGAGGTGGAGGAGCAGCCGGTCTCTCTTTAATGCACGATGTCAGCTACTGTATCACTACGGAAAGCTTTTTAAGGCTCACATGTGGGTACCCCATCTGAGCCCAGGCACGACCCCTTCTCAATACTCTCCAAAACCCTTACAAGCCTTCCGGTTATTTTACTACTGAAGCACTTAAAAGTTCCAATCCTGCAAAGTGTTAATAGGGCCCAGGAATGTAAATGAGGAAAAAACATTTAAACAGCAGTTAAGAAAACAATCTTACAAAAGGATTCATTAATTAAATGGTCTTAATTGTTTATTTTGATCATTTAAAAAACTGAATTATCATGTTTTTGAAGAGCTACAACCACATTATGAAAGAAATAGATGAAATCTGTCTTATATCCGGGTCAACACAGACATCTTTTATAGCGAGAACATGTCTCATGGACATTACTACAGCGTGGATGAAAGTGACAAAGGGCTATTACAGATTTACCATTCCTCCCACTGATCTACAATCAGCGCTCAGGAGCAGGAGGAGGAAAGAGAAACGTATTTCTTATCGTGCAACGATTTAGCTTCAACAAGCTGCAATTTGACAGATTTGATCTCACGGCGCCCTGAACCGCTGTGAACATGAGCCCATATGAGCTCTCATTGTGCCACAAGCTTAAATATTTGGAAACAAGCTAAGTGGTGTTATAATTAGCTAAGTGTAAGGTTCAGGCCCCTCCAGTACTGATGATTCCTGCGTTTCTCTGTGCACTGCAAAGGCAGCAGAGGGCCATGGGGTGAGAGGGCTGAAGGCCCACTTCAAGATGTCTGCTCCACAATGGGGGACAGAAAAATGCTTCAAATCAGATTCGCGAAGCGGTTTGAGCAGGATGGAGGGTGTTTGTGCAGGAGAGGGGTTTTATCAGCGGCAAACACTCACAGGAATTCCGGTTTGGGATTGTCCATCCAATTCCTGCGTTCCACAGGAAGCTCTGCATAAAAAGCAACTGAAAAACGCCCGAAGACATTTCATTCGCGGCCGGTCGACTCTCAGGGAGCACCTCGAATCAACCGCGAGTGTTTTTGATTTGAAAAAGCACCGACCCCGAGCTTTAAAAGAAACCGGCAGCATGGAAGAGTCCTCTAATCCACCGGTCTGGCGGCTCGTGCCCACGGCCGCAGCTCGGCCTGCGCGCGCACACGCACCTGATGACCCCCGACTGCGACGGTAAGATTTTTTTTAATGCATTTTATAAAGGACCGTGTTCACCTGAGTTTTCCTTCAACATTTTAATTTCACTTTCTTTTTTTTATTTCTCGTTCGCTCTCAATATTCTTTGTGTGCTATACAATATACAAACAACACAGTTACATGCAGACATTCAGCTAAACAAATAGAAGATTAAAGCAACTGTAAGCACATAACATACAGAGCTGGACAACTATATCTTCATACCTGATTGTTACTGCAGTGTAGGGCTACAGGTTGTATGGATAACACAGAGTAGGTTTAATGTGCATTTATTGAGTGCATATGTGCAATACAGTCAGACCTATGTGGCAATGAAATAATCAATATGTACATATTGCAGTGTGTGTGTGTGTGTGTGTGTGACACTATACAGCAGAACTGTACTTCCATTCCTCTAAAAATGAATAAATAAAATAGAATATAGGGTCCTTGGCCCGTAATGATTGCTTAAAGTAAATAATGGCCATGTAGTATAATCTACATTAGTAGTCTAAAGCATGACAGTAGTACGGTAATATATTGTTTTCTTCTTGCCTTAATATTATCTTCATTCATGATTATAGGCTGGTCAAATATTGAACTAACAGGTAAACGATATGGCGCTCTATTGCAGAATGTATTAAAAGAAAGAAGATACAATTAAAGCTCGTATTGCTATATCATCTCTAATTAAACTTTCACAGACATTTGTTGTTGTTTTTTTTTAATTTAAAATGTTTTATATATTTTTTAATTAATTAATTAATCAATTCATTTAGTGATGCATTTTTGCGCAAAAGACACAAGGTTGAATGATTTATTATTATTATTTAGTAAGACGAGAAATCCTGAAGCTAATATGTACTCAAAGTCAGCCAAATCAAAAGGATATATTCCTAAATTGCCGTCCTTCATAAAATCCCTACTTTGTGTTACAACCCTTCCACTAATACATATCTAGGAGACTCCAAAACATGGGATGAAATATCTTAATGGCAATTATGGGCAGGAAGAATGATTACAGCACCCCAAAAAATAGTTCCAATCCTCACATATACCTGAGTATTGTTTTAGGACAGACTTGAAAATGTGTGAAGTGACCCTTTAACTCTAGCAGCTGCCGCCATAAAACACCGTCGCAGGGTCTCTCTGCCCGCCAGCCAGCCGATGAGCAGCTTGAGAAGTCTACCAGTAGAAGTGTACCAGTAGAAGTCTACCAGTAGAAGTCTACCAGTAGAAGTCTACCAGGAGGTTTATGAATGAACAAGTCTAGTCCGTGTAGCCCGCACAGTGACGTCACACACGGGTCCCCGCAGTGCAGGCAGTCGAAGCTCCGGGACACCCAGCTGGAGGAGTGGGAGGAGATCCTAGCATCACCCCCCATGCTCACTGACAGTCCGGGCTGCAGGAGAAACCTGACTAGTAGCACAGTTCCATCACTGGACTTTTTTAAACTCACGAGCGGAATATATAACGGGACCAACTTTGTTCAAGGCGCGGGCGTTTCTTCACTTCCTGCAGTGTAGGACTGTGTTTTTTATTTTTATTTTAAGAAAAACTGATTATTCGTTGCACGGTCTGTGATTATTTTTTGTATCCATGCATGCGCATCTTGATATCTTGGCTTGTAATGGCTTGTGTGCCTGTGTGTGTCCAGAGCGCGCGCTTGTGTTTTTCAGTGTAGGTAGTTCTGGGTTTATTTCATCCGTGTCATCCGTTTAATGCGTGAGCGTGTAACTCTTTCGTGCGTGTATGTGAGATAATTACAGAGATGGAGCTCTGCGTGAAGGATGTAGCTCCTCAAACAGTGATCTCCGGAGCTGTGCAGTGCTGTGAACCAGCGCCCTCTCCTGGCGAATGCAAGAAACGTGTCCGCTCAAGTTACTCCCGATAGGCCAGAATGTATTACAGATGCAGATGCAACCACGTGCTCTGAGCCTCGGTTTCACAGATGTTCACCTGGATTACAAGCATCCCTTTTGTATATTGTTTTTTTTAAGTGCTGATTTTTGCTAAACCAATACAAGAACTATTTAGAATAATGTAATGTGTTTAATCAAATTCGTGCTTCCATTTACTTTGTAGAGTGGTTTGTACATTCCTTCTATAGAAACGTTGGCAATGTACTTTATGCATCCCAGAGGTAGGGTGTGTTTTAATATTTAACAGCCTCATAATAAAGACCTAATATCCAATCTTCTATACCACACCTAACTAGTAAAACAAGTGTTTTGCCCCGGAGCACCTTCCTCATCGCCAGTGTTATGATGTCTTTTTTGTCACAAATGTGCACATGTGTGTCTTCAAAGTGGCCTCCTGCTGTGCCGAGAGTCACATCTACCTTTGATTTATGAATGAACACGCAGGCTTTAGATGTGCGTGTCCTGTCTCTGGGCGCGAAGCCAGCGGTGGATCAGAGAGACATGGAAGCCGTCAATCGAGGCTTAGCATCCCCCCCCCGACTCCACTGCAGACTACGGTCCCCCGAAACCTGCTATCCCACCAGGCTGACTTTAAGGCCCTGTTAGAAATTTCCCAAAGGTTTAGTGTCTGGTCTGATAAAGAAAGGTGCCTGTAGGATAGCGTTGCAGCAGGAGCAGGTCCAAGCTGACCGGCACTCACTCTGGAAACTGCTTCGCCGTTCTTTTAATCCTGTGCAGTATGTAATAATCCCAAAAATGGCGTGAAGGGATGAGTGAACATTTGCGGGAAGGGAGAGTTCTTTTGTTGTTTTTTCTTGCTCTGTCCTTTGTGTTAGAGTCTCAGAGTCCATGCAGGTGCAGGTCAGAGAGAGTTCACCCTGCTTTGTCCACAAAAGCTCAGGACTGTATGTTCAGTACATAGATGGCTACATATGTGGCTGCTTGTGTGGGCTCTATGTGGGGGAACCAGAACTACAACCAGTCCAGTCCCACAGTTCGTCTTTATGTCCGTGCCAGTTACCCAACGATGCATCCGGACATCTGCCCAGCAATGAGTTATCTTTGTCTCTCTGAGGCTTCCTGTGCTGTGGGGAGCATTCCCCATGAAAATCCAGTGCAAAAATCACCAGCGAGAGCATACTAACCCTTAAGGTTACAACAATACGTCGGTTGCGTCTTTATAGTTCTGGTCACAAAAATGTTTTAGACTTGAGGAAGTAGAGTACCTAAAAGTGCTACACATCCCCCCCCCCCCCAATGCACCCTGTTTTATGACCTTTTAAAATCCCCCACCATGGACACACACTCAATCTATGAGAAAAAAAAATAGTTAGGAATGTTGAAAATAAACATCTGATCATGTCGAACTATTTCGGTAAAACAAACAAAACAATGCGACCTAATTTATCAATTGTCTGACAAATGCCAACTCATGGCCCCATATTGCACGGCTCAAAAACGGTGTTTAATTTCTGCTTTAATACATGGTTCTCTTTCCTCTCTGTACAGGTAGCTGGAGTAGTCCTGGAGGAAAAGGTACACACTCAGCGTGAGGAGACCTTGGCTACGATCCACGACCACCCCTCCCCCTCTTCGTCCTCCTCTCCTCCTCCCTTCGACTGGCACAGAGAAGAGTCTGAGAGAGCGAGCGAGGGAACGTGGGAAAGAGGAAGACAATGTACCAAACGCTGCTTCTCTCCTCCTTCGTCCTTCACGTGATGGCCACTCCGCAGTTCTTCGCTCACCACGGGTAACAGCTCAACTTAACAGTCTTCCTGTGTTTATTGTGGCCTGTCATTTGATCAGTGCGGTCCTTATAGCTACAGATCTCCACTTTAGCTGTCCTTCAGGCCTGTTTGCTTTAGGCCACTTTCACCCCCTGCGAATGTATACAAATTGGGTGGAATGACATTTAAACATTTAAGAGTCCACTCTCTCAGGACCAGAGCTCCACCCTTAGGTCCCAGGCTATTAGACGCACAGCATTATGGGGGAGTCTCCAGGCTCATCTTGTCAACTTCAGTTGATTTGCACCGAGACTAAAATAAACCGCAAGCCAAACGAAAGGTCAAGTGGAGCCAAAGAGGTCAGAGATCAACTCTTAACTCTGACACATTCAGGAGTGATTTCACGGGTCAGTCAGGAGCAATTAGGCTGCACGCCAACTTCTGGTGACAAATAACAAATAACATTCTGGCTCCTTATGTGGAGTTCTTCATGCTTTCTGAATCCGACGGGAGCCACTTGGAGCCTAAATACCTCTGTGGAAATCAACTTCAAAGCAGCAGAAACCTCACATCTAAAACCAGCTCGGCTCAGATGCTCGTTGAGGCCGAAAGTTTTAATGCTCGATCTCATTTCTCCCTTTTTCCAGGAGGAGGGTGTGCGGCCGAGACCTCCGTCACAGCGTTGCAACGGCAACAGAGTCGTACGTCCAGCCGGTGCACAAGCCCTACATCACCCTGTGTCAGGGGCATCGCCTCTGCAGCACGTACAAGTGAGAGAAATAGTCTGCTGTAACATTAAATAGCGACTAAATCAGCTTTTGTTTGGGCGAACACCAGCTGAACCACACAGTCCAGCATGGACATGAGGACTCGGGTCAAAAACAGCGTCGTAATTAAGCCATCACTAGATCTACTTTATTCTATTAAACGGTAAACAATGCTCGACATGTTTAGGAAGGGCAAGGGTTAGAAGTGCACTCATAAATAGATCTAGACTTTCTCCCACACACACAAAGACATGTTTTATGCAGAAGTGGGTCATGGTGCCACATATTTGGGTTGGAATCTAAATATCGAGTACTTTGTGTAACTACGGGAAATGAACTGCCTGCCCGCAGAGACCGTGGCCGTGTTTATCTTGGCCTGCGTCTCCCTCCACACTTACACATTCTCAATCTCTCTCCAGCTCTGATGCTTTTGAGCCCCCCCCTTTACATTTTTTTTAAACTCTTTCCTCACCACCAAATTTCAGATTTGTTTGCTTTCTGTGGTGCAGGCTTCAGAGAATTACAGGCCTTCTAATCCCGTGGTTATTCTCTTTACTTTGATTAAATAGTTTGATCCTCTATCGTCGCTTTCACTTTGTTTTTAAGCTTTAGCCTCAGTTTATCGCCTCGTATTCCTCCTTGCAAAACAAACAGTCTTAGAACTTAGATCTGACTTTGCATCTCTTCTCCTGCCCCTTGCTCCCTCCCTCCCTATCTCATCTCGCTCTTGTCAGTGGTCAGTGGTTTTAGTCTCCCACCAATTTCCTATTCCCTCATCAGCGTTCTTTCAGTCTGACAGAACATGGGAAACAACTGGATCGACACGCACATATGAGGGCGATGACAGCATTATGAATAACCAGGAATCCCTAACTGTGGGTGTCTGTGTTTTGTCTCCACAGGACTGTGTACTTGGTGGCGTACCGGCAGGTGAGCAGAGCAGCACCTCCTTTGCATCTCTACTCAGAGTGCTGCCCCGGCTGGAGGAGATTTCACTCTCACAACTGCAACCAAGGTAACCTGCAGGGACATGTGATGGGTTTATGTGGCGATCCCGGATGTACTGTCTGCATCTGTCGAGTGGAAAAAAAGCTATTTAGATGTGCATATTCGCTTTCTTGCTGAAAGATAGATAAACGTGAAGCTACAGCCAGGAGACGGTTAGCTTAGCTTAGCATAAAGACTGGAAGCAGTGGGAAACGGCTAGCCTAGCTCTGTCTAAAGGTTAAAAAAACAAAACATTCAAAGGCAGTTTATAAACTGAAGTATAAAAACAAGACATGTGTATATTCTGGGCTCTTTCTTGGCCGAATGCAGCCAGTGGAAACTGCAAGACGTCACTGCTCCCGGCCAAGAAATAGTGCAGCACATAACTCACATAACTCCCCATAAAACCACCACTTGTTGATTTTACACTTTGGTTTTTGTACTGCTTAAACAAATGAGATAAAATGTGTTAATTAGTGGTGGTGCTCGTGGCCAGACTTTTGGCCACAGGCGTCCCCCCTCCACCAGTCTCCTAGCGAGTAGCTTTATATTTAGCATACAGACACGAGAGAGCCTTCGATTTTCTCATCTCAACAATTGGCAAGGAAGCAAATAAGCATATATCCCTAAATGCTGAATCCTTCCTCTAAATGTCCTCTAACAGCTGTGTGTGGACAATCCTGTGAGAATGGAGGTACCTGCTTAAGACCCAACCAGTGTGCTTGTCTGCTAGGCTGGAAGGGGCCTCAATGCATAACAGGTAAACACATGCACACACACACATCTACCTGCACAACCACACCAGTCTCTGTAACACACTAACACACAGACCTATTTCTTTGTGTTTCTCAGATGTGGATGAGTGTGGCGAGCAGCAGCCGTGCGCCCAGGTGTGCCTGAACACAGCTGGCAGCTATCGATGTGCGTGCAGAGACGGCTTCAGGCTTGCCGGAGATGGACGTTCCTGTCAAAGCCTCCCTCCTCCTCCTCCTCCTCCTCCTACTACTATTCCTCCTTCTCCCACCCAGACCAGCCAGGCAACAGTGGGTGGTCACACCGATGCGGGTAAATGAACAGCACAGGAGTGTGAGCGTGCGCTCACCTAGTATCATTTTGTGTTTTCTTGTCAGCAGCGAAGTCTCTGGAGCGCAGAAGGAAAGAAACAGAGCCAGCATCGCGGTCCATTATTACTTTTGGTACGCGCTATGCCACTTTCAACTCGTACCGTGAGTAATAATGCACTGCGACTGGTGCCGACTCCAGACAGATGCCCTGTGGTCTGGCCCCGTGTGGTGAGACTGGGACCAGTTGGTCTTTGATAATGACTCTGTTAACTCATGTGAGTCCTGTGAGTACAGCAAACATTTGACTCTGATAGAGCTCCCATGCTAATAAGGACATAGTTTTATCCTACACTCTCCATTAGTTGCCTTAAAAATGTTGCAATGTTGTCTTTCACCATGAAAAGGTCGGTTTTCGATTGTGTGTGCTTCCTGTATCTTAGCAACAATATAAAACAATCCCCCCCTCCATGTCTACAAGTGTAGTAGTTGACCCCAGGACATTCCTTTTAATTACTGTTCTATGTCAGCATTATTGCTTTTTGGGGAATTTATGCACCATGAAACCTCAAAGAAGGCTTATTTTATACTCATTTCTCCCAAATGTTTCCACCATTGTCACCAAACAATAAATCGAAGGGGGATACTTTCTCAAGTGTCATAAAATGAAATATCTCTTATGTAAATGTGAGAAATTTGCTCTGAAACTCCCCCTTTATTTATCAGTGTTTCTGTAGAGAAGAAAAATCACACAAAGTGGAATTCCTCAGCTGAAATGAGACAGTTCACTCCCGTGACTGCCCTGCAAGTATCGCTGAGTCAGCAAAGAGACAAACGCATGAAGAAGGTTGGAGGGTTGGGGAGGGGATGAAAAGCCAAAATATGACAGAGCTCTCTCCTCGGTGAAAGCGATGGGTTTTTTTTGTGGGAGCGTGCTCAGTTTTGCCGCTCAGCTCTCGGATGCAATAACGCAAAATTGCAAAGCCAGCAGAGATGTTTGTCTTCAAACTGCATTCCTCTGTCTGTTCATATGCACACGTCAGAGGGATGTTGATGAAGAGATCACAAACATAAACACAGGTTTAAATGCTCAAAAAGTAGACCATCGCTCCGACTCTGCCAAGCTGCTGTGGAGGAGTGTTGGACTGCGTTTGTGTCTCTCCATCATCCTCTTTTTTTCTCCCCCTCCGTCTCCCTTCTTCACTGCGCTCTTGGCCAATGATTGTATTCTCATTCCAGCTCCATCAACTCTCTCTGCTGGGGGTCATCGCCAGCTCCCCTCTTTTCCTTCTCCTCCTCCTCATCCTGTTGCTGAACTCATTCTCGTCTCAGTAATGGACCACATCTGGGAGAGATTGAGCCGCTCTAGAGCCGGCCAGACACTTCCCCATAACCGATGCATGTTCACAGGACGGGAGAACGAGCGTCTATTTCTGGTGACCCCTCTTTCAGCTTGTGTATCATCTTCTTTCCTGCGGTTTCCCTAATCCATGATGGCGCCCTGTGCCCTAAACTCCCTTGGCCTCCCTGCAGCTCTGCAGCTCTTCTTTCTTTTGTTGTTCAGAGACGTTGCAGTGGCCCTGAATCATACGAGGAGACGGATTGATGAGGGCGGGATGTGAGAAGGAATCTTTTGAGATATAAACTCTAGATCTCCCCTTTGATCGATGCCCTCTCCTCACTTAGTTTCCACAAATTCAAAAGCGGCAGTCACCCTCCTCTGATGTGCATTTCTGTATTTGTATGGTTTCGTTTCAGGTGGAGGGTTCAGCCAGATGGAGAACGTGACGGAGGAGGTACAGAGCCTGAGGAACAGAGTCGAGCTCCTGGAAAAGGTACACGAGAAAAGATTAGTTGTTGAAGAAGTATAATTATGCTGCAGGTCACATTGATTTTTTTTGTTGGTTTGCGAGGTGAGTAACAGCCGTTTTCTGAAGCACCTTTTCTCTCATTTCCCCCTCCTGTTTCTCGCTCTGTGCAGAAGCTGCAGTTGGTGTTGGCCCCCTTCAGCAGCTTCTTCCCACTGTCGCTGGACGAGCGCTGGTCGGAGAAAACCACCTTACTGTCCCACTCCTTCCAGCAGCTCGACCGCATCGACTCCCTCAGCGAGCAGATTGGCTTTCTGGAGGAGCGCATCGGCACATGTGAGTGACCTCGAGCACTCGGAGGAGGGAAAGTCCAACATTTAGTGGAACACCACTGGAACCTTGTGTCCCGGGGAAAGCAGGAACAGTTATTCTGTAAAAAAGATCAGAGAAAATGTAAAAGCCCAAATGGAACAATTGTCCATAATGTAATAAAATATAATCTATTCATAAAAATCTAATAACATAATAAAATCTTGTGACTAACGTAATAACTATAGATCAAACTATAAGTGAATTGATACATTTTGTCTTGGATTGTAACTTAAAGAGTAGATAAGAGTCCTAACCACAGCGGTGCTTTGAGCGACATGCTAACGGCAGCATGCACAGCAAATGTCATCCTCGTGGTGGTGCTAGAGGAAATGTCAGTAGCGTTCATCATCTGGAAACCATGAATGTCTGCACAGACGTTACCTTCCCTGCAGCACCAAGCTTTACAGATATTTATCAAACCAAGCTTTTTTTTTTTTGCAATTTTATGTTCAAGTTAATAAAATCAGGTTGTAATTTCTAAAGCAGAAAAAAACAATTATAACTTCATGAACTTTGTGTTTTAATGTAATGGCATATGGCCAATACATGGTTGTAACTTGTTCCACTCTTCTCCCCCGTATAGGTTCTTGTCAGGAGAATTAGCCACCGAACATGGCCGCCCGCAATAAACACTTCCAGACATCTCCCATGAAGTTAATAATGACACAAACCTCCTACAGATTGTACGCATTGCACCAAGATGGCCGACCTTTTTTTTCAAGAAGGGGATGGCAGAAAGCAGAAACCGCCTCAGTGACGCAATCACCGCACAAATCATCATGTGTGATTTTCACTACTCCCAGCAGCTTCATGTACTGCTCTTGTTGAATCACTGTCAAAGATCTTGATGTTGTAGGAGTACCTGTGGCAGGGCCAGTTTCAGCATTACATCATCATCCCTGTGACATCTGACTCCAACCCAGTGAGCGTCAAACTGGCCACTTTGCTTCTGTTTGTTTTGCGTCGGTACAGCTGTGTCCTCTGTCTAAAGCCCAAACTGTCCCGGGGGCAGACATGGACATCTGTATTTATCTATTTAAATTATGATTACGTCTAGTTATTTTCTCTGTGCTCCAACAGACATTTTTACCTAGTTTTGTAACATTTTGTAATAAAAAAAAAGTCTTAATCAAAAACACCATGTGTGCTCTCTGACATGAAAGGATTACTGACTGAATAATGTTTGCAAATGCACGGTCCTGTATACACTGCTGATGTAAGACGAACTCTCCATTAAGCTAACACAACATTGGATATCTCCTGTTGGCCTCTCCTACAGTATATACAGCATGTAGTTTAACCAGTGAAGTACTCAGTAAATTCACTTCAGTAAAAGTATCAATAATACATTGTGGAAGTACTTGCATTTAAAGTTCTGCTCAAGTAAAAGTATGGAAGTATTATCAGCAAGATTTAAGTATTAAAAGTACAAGTAATCATTATGCAGATATATCGTATTGAATGTAACTATTTTGTATGAAGTCTGGTGGGATTATTTCAGCCTGTTTTTCAGAGATTTTTAGTTTTTGCACTTTGCAAAACATTAAATCTACAAATCAGCCATCAGATAAATGTACATTCAGTGACAGAAGTATAAAGTAAACCTGATCCGCCAGGTCGTTTATGTGATCATGCGATTCTCACTGCCATGCAAAGTGATATTAAAGTAGCAGAAAATGAAAATACTTAAGGGAAGTGCCTTTAAAATTGTACTTAAGCAGATTTTGAGTACATGTACTTAGTTACTTTCCACCGCTGACTGTAGTAATCACTGAGGAAGGCAAAGCAGGAATTTCACTGCACGGCCACTTAAGAAAAAGAAAAGTTGATTTTTATTTATTCTTTTGCAAGGCATTCACGTTGACCCAGAAAAGGTGAGATCAAGAACATACATTGTCAATGCTAACCAGACAGTGTGATGGGCGTCTATACTATATGTGCATATTTAAAGACACATTCAGTAAGGGACCACACACACACACACACACACACACACACACACACACACACACACACACACACACACACACACACACACCAGCTCCGTTTCTCGTATCCATGTAAAGCAACAATTACACGTTTAATAGCTTTGGTGAAAATCAGAGAAAACTTGAAAGTCCGTGTTTATTTTTTTCCCCGCCCAAACTCAGCATGAAAAGTGCTTTATTAGGGTTAAGAATACTTTGAATATTTCATCTTACAGTATCTTACTTCGTAAACAATCGCCCAAAACCAACCAGCAGGGTCGTTGCAGAGCCTGTTCGCCACCGGTTCAAGCTCCTGACGCGAAGCTTACAAATCACACATTTGTATTACAAAATAACAAAGAAATAAACAGGAAAACAACTCCTTTAGCAAACTTTATATTGTTTAGGTCATATTTTGGAAGAAATAAATTTGGTAGAGTACTTTATAACATTCAAACCACTTGCTGCAAAGATATGAATCTGCCCTCACAGATGAAACTCAATAAATATAATCAAACTAAATAAAAAAGCAAGAACAGAATTTGATGGGTTAGTATTAATAGAGGGGTGTATTCTATACTAGCCTTGAACTTAAAGCTCAGCAGGTATCACTGTTGCACTCACCAGCAGTGTACAGGCTCAGTACCGAAGTATTAATGAATCCAGAACAAGAAGATCTCCTCAGAAGGTTTATGTGCTTGTGTCAGCCTAATTTTAGCATTTAATGGTCAAAATAAACACGTTCTAGATGTGAAGCCAACTGTATGAAAGAAAACATCCCACGTTAATCAAAAAAAAAAAGATAAAATCAAAGAAGGATAAGATGCAATTAGTCGTACACAAATGTCCTGAATGCTGAAATACATTCTCAGATATCGTTTGATGGGCTAAAGCGGCAAAATAAGAGATTTTGCAAACAGTAGAAAGGTAGCGAGCAACGTGACATCAGAGACCTGGATGTAAACCAAAACAGTTCAGTCGGTTCTATGCGGTTATTGTCTGTACATTTTACAAAAGCAAACTAGCCGAAAACAACCAACCAGTCAAACTTAAGGCGAAATGTCCACAACGTTTTTTAAATAATCTAATACTCTCACATGAGGTTTAGCAATAGCTCACTCATCACAGCTAAACCATGTTATTCACCTTCACATTGATAAAACTAAACGGGGACAACCCTTCAGAGGTGTAGACTAGAAGTCAGCCAGGTTCGTTAGTGATTAGTGAACCTTCAAGTTAATCAGCACAAATGAAATCAGACAAAGCCCAAAAAAAACAAAAAAAAAACACTTGAGATTGAAAATCATCTCACGCTTTGACCCTCATCCCGACTATAAGAGCGACCGTATATCATTGGTAAAGTCAGTGATTGGCTGACTAAGCAGGTCATAGCCTGATAATAATAATGGGCTTTCATTGAAAACTTCCCAAAAACACTGAGTCATGGCACAGCAGGTAGCTTGCACTTTGGAACAGTAATGCTTAACACAGTTGGACGTTGCACACTATGAACTCACCTTTTTGACACATCTTAAATAGGTTCACTTGTGAGTTCCTTTCCGAGGAGCAACAAAAAAAAAAATATGATTATTTGATGAAGAAATAAACAGAAAGCAAAGTTACACCGAGAAGACACTTGTTGCTCAATGCTGCACGCAGGTTATTTCAAACCTTTTTTTGGAGAGAAACAGACTGAATGCATACGATACACCCACGATGCACAACATTGAAAACCCATCAGTCCACGTAAGTCCAGTAATTCAGTACAGATGGGTGCTGTTACACACCGCATTGTGTCCTCTTGAATTCCTTGCTTGCTGACATCATGAAGTATGTCATGTCATCGGGTTGAAGAGCCAATATGGATATAGACTTTAATTCATAGCGACGGAACTTAAGTCCGCGGATCGACCTCTCACCTTCACCACTCGTGGAGAGCCCGCACCTTTAGTCTTTAGACAGGAATGCAGAAAGGGAGCGAGCACACTAGAAGGAAAGGAAGCAAGGAAGGAAGATGGGGGACTTTGAATTGGTTTTTGCAAGAGTGCCCGAGGATAACTCAAGCAACGGCAGTATGAGATGCACATATGAACATCCACTGACATTTCTAAGAGAAGAAAAGGCCAAAGATTATCTGCTAAACAAAAGTACAAAATGGTGATAAAGTGAGATTATATTTATAAAAAAAAAAAAAAAAAAAAAAAAAAAAAGCCAGGCTTACAAAGCCAGAGAGCAAAGCAAAAATGAAGGTGGACCGAGCCATCCAAAAAGGCATGCATGAAGAACAACACACATCTATACTGTTCGGCTTGCCGTCCGTCACTCCGCTCACGGCGTGCAGAGCAGCGCTGCTGCTGGTGCTGCTGCTGCTGCTGCAGGCACAGTGAGGGTCAGGACCGACCGGGCCGTGTGGTCCGGACCAGAGGCGGACTGGACCAGGCGTCGACTAGACAAGAAGAGAGTTCATGACAAGAGACCGGGTGTCATGTTGTTTTCCTGACCAGGTAATGGGACAACCTAGGGAGAGCGGGGGAGGTCCGGGAGGAGGGGGAGGGGACATAGGAGGAAAAAAGAGGCGGGAGCATTTGGTAAAGGTTCAGTGCGTCGACGGCCCGTTGCTCGTGGGTTTGGAGTCAGAGACGTTCACGAAGACGGCGCGCATCACGTCGAAGGATTTGTCACAGAGAGACGCAACATCGTCCGACGTCATCCCCTTTGTCTCGATCTTTGGAAGGATCTTCACTCTGATGGTCCCTGCGGAGGCACAAAACTTCACTGTCAGAAGTCTCAGGGAACGTCAAGTAAAAAAAATAAAATAAAATAGGACAATCAAGCGGAGTTACCCGAGTTGAACTGCTTTTCTTTCCGTAGGTAGAAGCTGCGGTAGGAGGAAAAAACGATGGGTATGACGGGTACCTGAAAAACAAGAGGAAAGCAGATCAGACAGTATCATCATCTCCTCTTATTTTCATATTAAGCACACAAATATAATCTGACTCCTAGACTTTACTTTGATCTAAACCAAAGCCAAAAGATGAGAAACAAACAGACAGCAATGCTTGAACCAACATCACTGTCTCTCCCTCTCACACGACATCAGCGATCTCCATCTCCTCCACTAATAGAGGCCGAGTCGCACTCTCGAGGCCCCCCGAGCGGCCCCTTCAACGGGAGACTGGCTGAGCCAAACGTGGCTCCCCCTGGGGGCTGTCCTGCTTCCACTCAATCTGGCCGACCGGATACAAACGGAAAAGAGCGCGCTGCAGCTCAGCAGAAGCCGACACAGAGAGATAGATAGACTCCATCTTCAAAACCAAAACACTGTTTTCTCCAGACCTCAAATTACACCACCTCAACGCCAACACACACAATCCAAAGTAGAGTATCGAACATGGAAACACTGTATAACCTCTAATCACGTAGGAGCTGTAGAGCCAATAGAGCCCCTATAGAAGATGTGTTTGCTAATGAGGAGCAGCAGGACTGTATTTTTCTAGCCTCTCAGTGCATTTCTGAACCAAACTGATATTAATCTTTAGCAGCAAAATAACAAAAAAAATGGGCTCGCACCATAGATTGGCTCACACATTACAAGCACGCCACTACATTTTTTTGTCTGGGGCCAACCGCGTTGAGGTTTTCTGGCCAGATCTCATTCAACGATGCTTTTTTAATTCATTCCACCTGCTGGACCCCCCCACGAGCGTGTGCTACGAAACGTCAACTCAAGAACGGAGACCTCCCACCTGCATGCATTAAGAGATAGAGCTCCGAAAACACACACAGATGAGACACAATTACTCTGGAGTCATTCTGTGTCGTCCGACCTCCCTCAAAATCATTTTGCGTGCAGAGTTGAGAGACGGGGGGGGGGGTATGTCAAAAACAACCGAGGACAACTTCACAAATGGCCGAGACAGAAATATCACGATGAAAGTGCTCAGACAGTCCGAACTATTCTGGAGCACTTCAAGGCATTCCTGGCTCCACTCATATGTTGGATTTGGTTAAATCAGAACGTTGCCTCGTGCCACATTAGGCTGCTAGCGCCCCCATGTGTCGAGAATCAGCACCTTGCTGCCATCATTACTCTTCAGCCGGCATCATCGCAACCCATTTTTGCCAGCGTGGTTAAGTGAATGAACAGGACGAGGGTGTGCATCAAGTCTTAATTCCCATGCATATATAGGATATGGATACGATAGTCACACTTGCTCCGCCTCAGTACACAGACGGCTCAAACACAGGTGAATTTTTGGAACGTCAGAGGAACTCACTTGTGCCTGCACTGCCAGGTGGAAAGCCCCTTTTTTGAAGGGCAGCAGGTCGCCGGTCTGGTTCCGCGTTCCCTCGGGGAACACCCACAGACGAATCTGTGGAGGTCAGAGGAACAACAGCGATTTAATCATCCAATGTCATCTCTGTGTGAAAACCAGAGCCCTGTGACAGTTTAAGAGCGGAGCGAAAAACAAAGAAAAGCACAAATAACTAAGTAAATTTAACAGTTCTTCAGGGACATAAACCATCACTTCAACCCAGATAAACATAGCTCCTTCTACCCCCACTGATGACGGTGTACCAAGTGTTCACAGGATTCACGTTACCTGATCGTCCAACATGGTTTTGGCAGCGTCAGCCATGACGTTCTTGGCGTCGTTCGTCTTCTTGCGGTTGATGAAGACGATGCCGCCCAGCCAGCAGATGAGACCCACTGTGCCGGCGTAGACCAACTCCTTCTTGGCAATCATGGTGCAGCGGTCTGGTAGGATCTCCATCAGGCCTGAGAAACACAGAACATGTAAGAATAGAATATCGTAAATCGTCATTTCAAACTTTATTGAGACTAAATTTAAAACGTGAATCCACCTTTTGTAATTTCCAAATCAAAAATAAGCATCTGTAGTTTTGTTCACACACTGAGCAGTATCACTCCTTCAAAGTTTGAGAAATAAGATGTCAGCTAATTGAATCATGTAGACCCTATCCTAATAGACCATAAGCCTGAATTACGTGATATTGTTTTACTAAATTTGAAACTTTGATCCGTCCCATGTCTCTAACGTATACAGCATGTTTCCAGTTTCTCTCTCTATGGCCTCGTCAGAACCTGGATTTCATCATGTACAGTATAAAGTCCGCTGATGTAATAGAGAAAAACATGATTGATTAACTTTGGTGTGAAAGCAGCTGGTCCAGAAGATAAAAAGAGCGTAAAGATGTCCGACACACACAATGTGAGAGAAAGAAGCGAAATGACACCAGAAAGAGAGACTTGAAACCAAGCTGTGGAGGTGATCTTATCGCGTCGGCTCAAGGATGAGCAGCTAATAATGGCTGGGTGTAGCGGTTGGCATGGCCACTTGGACGCCAAATCAGACACGTGCCGAGTGTCCTCAGCACTAATTAGAGGCCTAGCTCGCCACTTTGGCCTCGAGGCATTCCCTCGTCAATTACCGGCACTGACAAACACCTTCTCTCACTAAGGCACTAACGGAGAGAGAAACCATACATCTGCTAAATCAAGTGTCCTCAACAATCACATCTAGGACCGTTCCTAGAATAAGGAGTTTGTGTGGTATACACGTGACGGCCGGGCCTTAACATTTTGTTTCCAACAAGTTGTGGCCCTGGTGTGAGCGGTGTGTCCTGACTTTCCCTTATCGGGAGATGTAAGGTGGCACCAACGATGTCTTTAGCAGTCCTGAATCGCTCATTTGAGTCTGTTCTTGAATTGTTTGGTGGCCGATCCAAACCAGACCAACGGCCAATGTAAACAGGATGTGGACACGTCGCATTCCAGCTCCACCGCAGCCGTTGGAGACAATCCTGCTCTCTGCGATCACAAATACTGATTCAACGCTGACGTATTTACAATATAGTGGTTCTCATTTACATATTGTCCTGTCTCCGCTGTCAGACAACAGAACTGTTATGATGATTAGTTGCAGCTCATGAATACTGTGATGACCAGCAGTCAGTTTATTAACAATGGACTTTATTGACGATGGACTTCGCAGATTCCAGAAACCTGAAGGTGGTTTGGTAACTTTGACGTTACGCCGAAAAACGGAAAATGTCAACACAAAACCCCCGACACCTGTTAACTGTGTTTTTCTGAATTTGCCGACTTCATGAGGACGTGGTCCGACATCGAGGGGTGTGTGAAATACATTCAGGTCATCAGCCAGTTACTATCTGTGAACAGATGGAATGATTCACCCAGACAGGTTTTCATGAAGCACCGGGCAGCAGAGGGGGGGGGTCCTTGTTGGTTCTATTGGGCAATAACAGCTTGTCCACTTCATTGGCCAGAGAGTGAAATCCCCACTGTCGTAGCTCAACCAGTGCATCATTCCACTTCTTTCGTCAGCGACTGCTGCCTCTACTAAAGAGGACTCCTGCTTTCAGCTGAAACGTTCCAAAAAAAACTGCCAGAGTTTTAAATTGCTCGAGGTGAGCTGCTGAATGTACGACACTTAAACCCGGTCTTGCTAGAGTATCAGGAGACCAGGGGCCAAAACCAACAAGAACTAGACTAAAAGCTGCCGTTTGCACAACCGTCTTGCACCATTCTCAGTATGAACCAATAACATATTTTCTGTCTAAAAATAGATGAGACTGGCTGCCTTTCCAAACCTCTCAACATGTGTATCTCACGTTTAAACCACATTCACAAGGACTCAATTATGCAGGAAAATATCTAATACAACAAGTTAAATATTGGAAGCTATCTAAACATCTGGTGTGAAAGTGTGTCAGTCTCTCCAGTGTTTGAAGAGCGCAATGATTCCTGCAGAGCTCACAGAATATAGACGTCAACACTCCAAAATTATAGCTGAAAGTCAGCACTTAGCATTGTAGTCATTGTTCTATTTCAGATGTAAATATGTATTCTTCTGCAAGCCCAAAAGAGGGAGAACATGCACCGGTTGTTTTGAGGGTGAAACCAACGTCACAACATATCTATCGTCACACATGGAGGTATCGCAGCACTCACCCAAAACATCCAGGGAGCTCTGGTGGTTGGAGACGATGACATAAGGTCCCTCCGTCTGCAGATGCTCCCAGCCGCTCACGTCATACCGAAGACCCAGGAAGTACTTCACGTGACGAACCAGGACCCGGATAATCCTGAGGGGGGGGGGCAAAGGTTAATTACAGTCCTTAATAAGCACAGGTTACTGTTCACAGTCATGCTGCATATTCTTAACCAGAACCCTGCAAAGATAAGTTGGAGATAATAGTGGAATTTATAAAGCCTGCTAAATATATTACAGTATATTGTAAGAATGCCAGCTCAAATATTGAAATTCTGACCTAAACCAGACAATCATGACCGTCTTAAACAAGACATCTGGTAGCTTAACGCTGTACAATATCCCCATTAGTTTGTTAAATAATTGGCTGCAGTGAGAATAACGCTCCAATGAGCTTTGAGAAACAATCTCCTGCCATCTGCCTCTGAAAAACTGAAGAAAACAAAAATGTAAGTTATGACCTGACAATCTGTGGATTTATCAGATGTAATCAATACAGTGACAGCACACAGCAGTGAGGGGAAAGGCTGGATTAGTGTTTTGTGTTCAGTTCACTTTCAGTAGATTAATTTATGCTTTTTTAATATTTGGTGAAATAAATGTGTTCACCATTCCAATTTCAACAGTCATTTTCTAAATATCTAAAATAAAGTAATTATCACATTATAATATATACATTAGGGCTGAAACGAATAACATTTCCATTAATGATTAATCTGCAGATTATATTCTCAATTAATTGATGAATTGTTTCGTTTGTTAAATTTCACAGCTTGAGATGTTTTCAAGCTTCTTGTTTTATTCAACATAAATAGTCCAAATTCCAAACGATTACGTTTACCATCATGTGTTCCAAGAAAAGCTTCAAACATCTGGGAGGATGAGTCAGGAAATAATTGGCATTTTTGATGGCGAAAAAGGAAAAAAAAAAAAAAAAAGAACTTATCAATCACTTTTTTGCAGATCTAACCGACATAACTTTACAATGGATCATATCGGAGCTGCATTCATTTATTTTTGGGGCACAGACTTCCCTTTATTTATATCTTCTATATAAAGTTGGTCATGCTTTTACTTCGATCAACTGGAGATCCTTTCCCATCAAGCACTCACATCCATGACATTTTCCCTTTTGGCCCCTGGAAGGCTTTTGAAAGCTATGCAATCAATACACTTCCTCACCTCAAACACACAGCATGGCAACCAATGTAAAATGGATCTGAACTCTGATGTTGACGTGTAGGGCTGAAAAGAGAGCCTTGGCATTTAATGTCCGGGCCAGCTCCACATCGGCGCTCCATTTCTGAGCCTTAATTTGATCACCAGTCGATCGGGCCTAACCTCTTTTTCCCTCTTGGAGCCAAAGGCAGCAGTATAGTAGTAACACTATCGTACAAAACGGCTGTGAAGCTACTGTCAGTGCTTCATCTGAGGGTTTGAGGACTAAGTCTCCTAAAGATCCCGCAAATGACGCACTACGGTAGCGTGGTTGGGAGCCGGAAGACAGATCCCACAGAGACTTCCAAGTCAACGGCAAGAATATCTGCTTCTCAGTGGACTAAAGCACGCATTCCAAAGTTCATTACATGACAATGACGCCTATTCTCTTGAAGCGGCAGCTATTTACAGATTCCAACACGTTGACTGCTCTACAGATGCACTGTGTGAGAGCGGGCATGCTATGAAGGTACAGTTATGTGGGATTTCTCCTGAATCATAGAGCTCAACAAGATGTAGAGATACTGAAAATAACACACCACCAACTTAAATGACCTCCCCTCTAAGGAAAAACAACGGAGTCACTCCCTCATCTTCTAGAGCAACTGTCCCGTCCTCATCAGTGAGTCACATCTCCTCCCAAACTTCTCCATTTTTTTTAAATGTCCGGATTTAGCACACAATGCATGTAATGTGTATAATGATCAAACATTTCCAATATTCTATCCCAAGTGAAATGATCACAGCTCTTGCGGTGGTAATGCTCCCAATAATGATGGGATTGAAAACCGTAAAAGTCACTGAGTACATTATAATGGCCGTTATTTCACCCCGATGCCAGAGCTGATCATTAAAAGAGACCAAAGAGGGCATTTACGGCTCATAAACACTCATTTGGAAAGGCTCTTAGCTGTGAAT